TTTTTTTTTTTTTTTTTTTTTTCCAGAATGGGATTGAACTCAGGCCCTTGTACTTGCCAGGGAAGCACTTATTCTACTGAGCCATCTCCCAGGCTCCTCCTGGTTTTTTTTTTTTTTTTTTTTTTGCTTGTTTTTTTGTTTTTCCAGTCTATGTGGCCCTGGGATTACAAGCATGCACCACCATGCCAGTACTCCGTGGCTGGCTCAGTGTGCCCTGGGGGTGGAGCTGGCAGGGCATGTGATGCCAGGATTTGAACCCCACTCCCTGAGCTTGCCTAAGCAGGTGCTTAGTCTGCTGAGCTATCTCGCTGGCTCTTAAAATAATTTTTATTTTTGTCTTGTTTTGTTTTTTGGTACTAGGGATCGAATTCAAGACCTTGCACTTGTTAGGCAGGCACTTAAGCCACTGAGCTATCTCCCCAGCCCTCCCTGACGATTCTGAGAGCTATTTTTTTTTTTAAATCATTAAAACAAGTTATAGAAAATATACACTTGTGTTATAAAATAGCCAAACCAAAACAGAAAGGGATTTGGCGAAAGAAGTAGAATTTTGGTCTGAATAAAAGTTTTTCTATGAATTTTCTGACCCAATAACTTTTCCAATAAGAATAGCTAATTTCCTCTTTGACTTAGTATACACAAACTGGTCACTGTAGGTTTAGATAGCTGGATAATGCTTTTTTTTTTTTTTTTTAGTCTTACTGTTTATTTATTTGGTCAGGGTCTTGCTATGCAGCGCAGACTCATAGTGATTCTCCTGTCTCAGGCTCCCCAGCACTGGGATTACAGGCATGCACCACCATGCCCATTTCAGTGGTGGGCACTGTGGGCCTGGGGTTCCTCAGGCCAGCATGGTACAGGAGATGGAATCCAGATCCTTGTACTTTCCAGGCAAGCACTTAGACCTCCCAACTATCTCCTCAGCCTAAAAATGCTTTTTAATGCTTGTTTTTGTATAACCCAGGAATAGGGCTTTGATACTCATTTTAAGACAGTGATTGTTGTGCCATAGAAAAGCTTTATCACTGTGTGCTTTGATAACAGTCCAAATGCCTCGGTATCGAGTATAGTATAATAAGTGGAGAGTAATGTAGTGGTCGTGGTTAAGGTAGAATTTGTAGTGGAATTTCTATTCTAAACTTAAACTTTTAGGATGTGTATCTGCACTGTTTTATTGACATGTGATTTCTCTGAAGCAAAGGTTCTTTTTATAACTGACTTGACAGTACATTTGATCAGATGACTCAGGTGATAGTATTGCGTAGGTTCATAATTACCTGTATTATCAGGGTTAGGTTTTCTTAATATATGAGTTGCCATATAACCATCTATGTGTTTAAATCACATGAGCAGTGTAACTTGCACAGTGTTACACAAACCCTTCAAGCCAATTGAAGAATGGCTCAAGCCAGTAGAGGAATGGTGACAGTGTCAGGAGGCTGAAGAGATTTTCTTCTTGGCTTTATAATTTGGGGCAAGTCACCTTTCCTTTTTGGGTTTTCATGTTCACATCTGTAATGTTTGAGAGCATAGAAAGGAGCCTGAAGGTCTGGTGGTATAGCTCAGTGGACTAAGCGCTTGCATAGGAAAGTGCGGGGGCCAGGGTTCAATCCCTGGCACTCTATGCTGCGCTGGCCCTGCCCCCAGATGTGCTGAGCCGGTGATGGACTCCCAGTGTGGTGGTGCACGCCTGTAATCCCAGTACTAGGGAGGCAGAAATCAGGAGAATCACTGTGAGTCCAAGTCTGAGCTGCGTAGTGAGACCCTGCATAGAAAAAAAAAAAAAAAAAAAAGAGTCTGAGATGATAATGTTTAAAGTATCCTTATCTACAAAATCTTCTGCCAGTCTTTTACAGGTCTCATCAGTTCCGTGACACTGTAGTTTCTCAGAGGAGAAAAGAAGGATAGGTGATGTTATAAAGTAGGTGAAATGAATCTCTGTGGAGGCAGACCTGTCAAATGTTGAATGGGCCTTGTACAGGAGAACAAAGACAATATGAATTATTCATAAATTTACTCAAGACTGTCATTTCTAAAAAAAAAGTCTTAGATTTTTTAGTGTTAAAATTAAGCATCTAGCTGGGTGTGATGGTGATTGTGTAGCGGTCACCCAGCTACTTGAGAGGGTGAGATGGGAGGGTTCCTTGAGTCCAGGAGTTCAAGGCCATTCCAGCACTGACAGGAAAGAAAGAAGGGAAGCAGGGCAGGCTGACTTAAATAATTTTGGAAGAGAATGCAGAGGGAGAGGGATGGCCTCAGTCCGTTGCAAAGTGAATGTAACAGATGATCTCTGTGACTGTGAAGCCTTTAAAATTCATGGTGATATGTTCTTAATCTCAAATAAGATTGAGTTATAGAATCAGACTGTCAAAAAACTGCAACAGATCAAGATGTATGAAAGTTAAATTAAAATTTCTTGAATTAAAATTAATAATTTAATCTCTAATTCTTCATATCGCAAAATTTTACATTCTGAGGACCAGTTGCTCTCAGCCTCCTCTAAGTTTTACGTATTTAAAGGATAATTTGGTAATTCCATTTAAAAAAGCTGTGAGAGAAGAGGATGGTAACTCTTTCCCCCCCCGCCTTTGTATCAGGAATTGAACTAAAGGGCTTGAGCTTGCCAGGCAGGGACTGTGTTGCTGAACTACATTCCCAGCCCTGAGAGTGGTAATCTTTTAATAGTAGTTTTCTTATTCTTTTCTCCACATCTGCATTGTACTTCTTTATTTTTTCTTAGATCCAGGAGTTTATTCATACCATATCCTTTCAAACTGTTAAACTGTCCACAAGCATTCTTCCATATAAAAACATTCAGCTCTTCCACTACATTTGTACTAAGTTCTCCTTAGCATGGACCCAGAATACTTTATTACTGGGTTTTGATTTGGCCTCTCTTCCCTTATTGATCTGTGTTGTCTCAGGTGCCTAGAAATTTTTCACTCTGTCTCCCTCTGCTGGAATGTTCCCTCACTTCATATTGTCACCTTGAAAATTTGGTTATGATACAGAGAAAATTAGCATGGCTCCCGTGTAATGATGACACGCAAATTCGTGAACCATTCCATATTTTTTTTTAATTGTGATAATTTTCAGCAGGATTCCTAACAGTGTAGATAGGAAAGATAGAAAAAGAAAAAAAGTAAGTGGAATTGCCAGTTACTGTGCAGAGAAGTGTTTCAGTTTGTTGGAAGATATTTTACTTTTTTCACGCAAAGAAATATGCAGTAATCTCTAATGACATCCCATGGTTTATTATTATTGCTCTCATTATTTTTGGTATTATGATTGGAAGCAATTGCATCAACCTATGAAGAACAGTTTATTTATTTTAAATTTATTTATTTTATTTATTTATTTGTGTGTGTGTGGCCAGCTCAGCCCACCAGGGGGCGGGGCTGGCTGGCATGTGGTACTGGGGGATTGAACCGCGGTCCATGTGCTTTGCTAAGCTTGTTCAAAGTAGGTGCTTTAGACCACTGAGCCATCTCCCCAGCCCTGAAGAACAGTTTAGAGACCTAAAATCCCCCTATAAGCCAAAACCATTTGGATCACAGAACAAGTCAACACATTCCAAAGTATATCAGCATGTAGGAGCTAAGCATACATGTCAAATGAATCCAAAGCTACTAGTGCAAGCCATCACTCTAGTCAACATATATCAAATATATACTGCATCTCAAACATACTCCCATGGTCTTTTTTTTTTTTTTTGCGGAACCAGGGATTGAACTCAGGCGCTGCGCTTGCCAGCGCTTACTGAGCCATCTCCCCGGCCCCCATACTCCCATGTTTTGGGTGGCTTTTACACTTTTATTCCATCTTTAATTTCCTTTTTTTAAAAAAATTATTTATTTATTTATTGCAGAACTGGGGATTATTTATTTATTTATTTGTGTGTGTGTGTGTGTGGCCAGCTCAGCCCACCAGGGGGCAGGGCTGGCTGGCATGTGGTGCTGGGGGATTGAACCGTGGTCCCTGTGCTTTGCTAAGCTTGTTCTAAGTAGGTGCTTTAGACCACTGAGCCATCTCACCAGCCCTTTAATTTCCTTTTTTGTGAATGAAATGTGTAAGTTAAAATTAAAACATATGGTAAATAAAAAGGTCTTTACAGCAATTTAAAAAAAAAGATTTGGCACACTGTGACTTGCCTGCTATCTCTGTTAGACAGTTACACTGTAGTGTGTAGTATAATCTGCAACTTTACTGAAAGTTGTTGAATCTGCCAAGTGCTGGTACAGTGTTCAGCATTGCCACTGTCATGGATGAAGCAGACTGCTAGTCACTGTACTCAAGGAGTTTCACTTCAGTTGTGCTCTGTGAGATGCCTATTAGTAGTGTATATCAATTTTCAAAGTCTTTAGTGGTACTCTAGTGTTGAATTCAGAGGTTTTAATTTTAGTTTTACTTTTTTGATACTGGGGCATTGACCCCAAGGCCTTCATACTGAGCCATATCCTTAGATTTTATTTATTTTTTTTTCAAAGTTTTATTGATAAACAGCAATGAGACAGTTTCAAATCAAATCGGAAGTACGGTTTCAACAAATAATACACTGCATATATTCTTCTTAGTGGTTAATTGCTGTAATCCTTAGATTTTAAAAAATGTGTTATTTTCCTGGGTGTGGTGGCTCACACCCAGGTAACCTCAGCACTGGGGAGGCAGAGGCAGGAGAATCATTGAGAGTTTAAGACCAGCCTGGCCTACAAAGTGAGCTAAAGGCCAGCCTGAACTGCATGGTGAAACCCTGTCTCAGAAGGAAAGAGGAAAAAAACAAAACAAAAACCAAATGAGTGTTTTTTTTTTTTTGGTGGAACCAAGGATTGAACTCAGGCTCTTGCACTTGTCAGGCAAGCGCTTATTCTACTGAGCCATCTACCTAGTCCTCATCTTTTTCCCAACTGTGGAAGAAAGGTGGATTTGGTGTGGATTGCTTCCCTTTTTCCTTTTGTGTTCTCTCTTTGTGGACACTAAGGGTTTATTTATTTAAAAAAACATTTTTTTTTGGCACTAAGGATTTAAAGAGGCTAATATAGTACATTTCAAGTTTATCTATTGCACATATGGTCTAAGGAAGATATAAAAGCTTGAGGGAAAAATATTTTGCTTCTAGTGCTCAAGAGGCTGAGGCAGTAGGCCTCAAGTTTGAAGCCAGCCTGGACCAGCTACATAGGGAGTTTCAGACTGGTCTGAACTAGTCAGACCCTATCTCAGAAAAAACAAATAGACAAAACCAACAAACTATTTCTATAAAGAACATCCATTATTATTTTTAAAGTTTTTTGAGACTGGATCTCACTGTGTTCTTGCTGTTTCACAGGCTGGCCTCAAACTTCTGAGCTCAGGTGATCCTCCTGCCTCAGTCTTTCCAGAAGCTGAGACTTGCTGCATGTGTACCACTGTGAGCAGCTACTAGAGTTTACTTTCTAATGGCAGGGGTAGGGGTGGTGGTAAGAAGTTAGGAAAGTAATTAATTATATAGAATAGGGTTCCACCAGTGCAGTTTGAATCTTTGGTAGCTGTCTGTGTAGTGCATATAAATTACCAAAAACTAGATTGTCCTAATGGTGTTACAAGTTACTGTATTGGTACCAAAAAGAAAGAACCCCCCCCCCAAAAAAAAAAAACCCAAGTTGCTGTAGTCAGTATGATTAGTGTTAATTAACCTTGCAGGTGAAAGCAGAAGTATTTTCATAAAACGAAAAATAGAAAACAACTGGTAAATGTGGGTCTGTCTAGAGGGTTTTTTTTTGTTTTTTTTTTTGCGGAACCAGGGATTGAACTCAGGCCCTTGCGCTTGCTAGGGAAGCACTTATTCCACTGAGCCATCTCCCTGGCCCCGGTTTTTTTTTTTTGAGATATACTGATGAACTTAAAAGGGATAAGTGTGAAGACCCTGGTAACAAAAGGGAACTTTTTTTTTTTTTTTTTTTCTGTATTTGGGACAGGGTCTGCAGGGTCTCACAATGTAGATTGAACTTGTAGTGATTCCGTGTTTTCAGCCTCCCAGGTGCTGGGATTACAGGCATGCGCCACCATGCCCAGCCTCACTTGCCCTCTCAGCACACCCCGTGGGCAGGGCTGGCACTGTACACTGGGGATCGAACTCCAGCCGCTGTGCTCTGCCTAAGCAGGTGCTTTAGTTCACTGAGCTATCAGGCCGGCTCTTTGGGTTTTTTTTTTTTTTTTTTTTAGACAGGGTCTGGCTGTGTAGTTCAGACTGGCCTTGAACTTCCTATGTAGCCAAGGTGGCCTCAAATTTGTGGCCTTTCAGATACCGGGATTACAGGTATGCACCACCATACCTAACCTAATTGAATATTTAACAATTGTATCCAATTCCTTTTATTTGGGTGACTCATAATAGAGATGCTTCACAAAGAATGAATGAAGTATGTGTATTGAAAATTTTGGCTGGGTATGGTGATACACACCCTATCTCAAAAAAAAAAAAAAAAAAAAAAAAAAAAAGTATTGCCAAGAGAACTTTTGGGAATGTGCCAGACTTATAGGTCTGCATGTTTGTGTTCCTGCTGTATTGCCCTATTAATTATTGTGATTGTATCCTACAATGAAATCTACTTTACAGTATGTATACTAACAGGGAAAATAATCTGGGTCCACTAGAGTGGTTTAGTCCTGGAGAAAAATTGTCCCCCACAAAGGTAGATTTATTTAGTTGGTTCTGTGCTGTAGTGCCTCTGTGTTGATCATAGAAGTAATGCAGTTTAAAAATTTTTTTGACTTTGAAAAGAAGGTTAGAAATGTACATTTTATTTATTTATTTATTTATTTTGGTGGAACCGGGGATTGAACTCAGGCTCTTGGCGCTTGCCAGGGTAAGCACTTATTCTACTGAGCCATCTCCCCGGCCCTAGAAATGTACATTGTAAACACATTCACTCAACTTTCTTCTTAGCAGCAAAGGTAAAAGGTTTCCCAGCCAGACCCTGCACTCAAGGACCCAATTTAATTGAGATGGAAAGCAGAGTATTTATTAAGCATAAAAGTTTTGCTGTTATGGATAAAATACTCTTTTTGCAAAATAATTTTTTTGGCCTTTCTATTACTTATTTTCTTTTTTTGTTACTGGGGATTGAACTTGGGACCCTGCATTTGCCAGGCAGGCACTGTTGCCTACTGAGCTAACTCCTAGATCCTTTCCTTGTTTAAATTAAAAACAGGAGCCAGTTGTGATGCCACATGCTTGTTATTCCAGCACTCTGGGAGGCTGAGGCAGGAGGATTGTAAATTGTAGCCTACTCTGGGCAATTTAGCGAGTTAGTGAGATCCTATCTTAAAATAAAAAATAAGAACTGGAGATATAGCACATTGTGAAGGCCCTGGATTCAGTCCCTAGTACCATAAAACAAAACCCAAGTGCAACCTGTAAGTTTATGTTGAAGTGGCGTTTCTGAAGGTCTAGTATAGAATATAAAAGTGTTAACTAGGATGGTATGTAGCCACATTGGGATTCTTGGACTACTTCTCTAGACTTTGGTTCTTTTTTTTTTTTTTTTTTAACTTTGGTTCTTATGTTCTCTCTTCCACCATAAATGTGTCTAGCTGGGTAGGTTTGGTCCCCAAACTTCATTTATAAAACTAATGTAATTGTTTAGTGTAGTAGCACACACATGTAATGTTGGCCCCTGGGAGGCTGATGATACTTGAGTTTACGGAGGGTCACTATAAATTCAAGAGCATCTTGGGCTGCATAGAGTTCAGCACCAGCCTGAACTATGGTAGCGAGACCCTGTCTCAAACAAAACACACACACACACACACACACACACACACACACATTTGTTAAGGTAATTGACACTACTATTGAACCTAATGAGGATTTATAGCAGCAGAGTGGAAAAGGTCACATTTCATGTGTAGCTTTCATTAACTGGTTCTCTTACAACAAATATTGAGACATTTAGCACAACTTTTTTGTTATGTTTTGCTTTATAAATGGGAGCAAGGTTAAAAATACAGAGCCAGTGAGTGGTCAAGATTAGACTTGAGCCAGATTTCTGACTTAAAATTCTGTATATTCCCTTTCATTGGAATGCTCACCATTTCA